TGCAGCGGAGGCTGTTCAGCAGAAAGAGCATGTCCTTCCTTCAAAGGCTTAAATCTCCTCACCCAACAAAAACTGATGAATGAATTATAGGCAGGCAGGGAGGCAAAGAAGACATATGAGGCACTGTCAGACAGATGGTTTCAGCACAGCAACAACTGTAAGGATTTTATTGACATAAGGTCAAAGGAGAATTTTAAGGCAAGGCTGGATAATAAGGACAGCTTTGCTGAAGTTTATAGCAACATGGACAAAAAGCCCAAAGGTACCTGACTGAGCATCTTAACAAGTGGGAGAAAATGGCTTTTATCATGAATTCATTGGAGGAAGCAGTTGGCTTCTTGATACTTAAGGAAATACAGTAACTGGATCATAAAGAACCTAGCAAGTGAAACTGGTGTTTAATGTAATAGAAAAGAGGATCCAGAAGGTAAGGCAGGAGGGGTCTGACATGKTTTAATAACTTGCTTTGATTGAGCATACCCAGGTGTGATAGTGATACTGCATGCAAGAAAAAGACCTAAGGGAAGTTAATGAACAGGGAGAAAAGCTAAACACTCTCCTTAGGCCATGTTGAGGTTGTGCTTAYAGTTTTATATGATGAGATTGTATTATTGCCAGGAAGAAAGGAGATAAGGGGAAAAAAGAAAGCAATGGACTGCAAATAGAACCTGGATTGGGGAAAAGAGGTTTTCATTCTTTTTTTTTTTTTCTGTTTACACACACACACACACACACACACACACACATATATATATGTAAAATTCCTTTCAACCTAAAGGATTTTACAGATAGAGATGGGAAGTTAGTTTGGCCAGCTGAAATTTTGGAATAGATCAAGATCGATGTCAGCTCCTGAACCTAAACAGTACAGAGTTGAGAGCAGGAAACAGCACCAGGTGCCACAGAATTTGTGGGTGGAACTTATGTTAAAGACAAAATTGAAAAAAAAAAACAAACAAAGAAATCACATGTGATAGGCTTGATAATGTAGAAAGACTGCCATTAAAGCCTCCCCCAGCTTGAGAAYTTACTGAAACTGCACACATCACAGTGGAGTAAACAAAACCTTTTCTGAGATGTCTGATTTCCTTTTAGCGTTTAGTCAAGAGGTCCTTGTTTGTTAAATAATGTGCTTTTAGTGAGCGTACAACGGCGTGTACATGTGAATGGAGGTACAGGAAGGGTGGGAGATAACGCAGCAAAGTCAAATGGAAAAGCAGGACAAAGCAGCAGAGAAGTTACATTCTGTTTTGCTTCTTCCTTTGGCATGAAGCAAATCGGGACCATCGTGTTTATCCCTAAATGACACACTGAAAGTGTGGGATTCGCTTGTGTGGCTAACGATTGTCATGGAAAACCGAAATCCGTGAGGGCAGATGGAGTGATATATCCAGCTGGGCCTCTGGGAAAACTAACTGGGACTGGTTCCGTCGTCCTGGGGCACTGGTGGTGCCTCTAATGGGGCAGCAATCCCTGAAGCGAGGAAAGCCCGGTGGGAAACCCACAGCGCAGTGCCTGGAAATACACAGATCGCAGTACAGCCCATAGACAAGCTGTGTATTAGAATTCAACYATATAAGTAGCCTTTGTAAGTTGTATTCAGCGAGTTTCCCTCAGCTGTGAGACAGACAGGCCCCCTGGTGGAAACAGCAGAGGGAGGGAAATGGAGGCAGACGGGCCGCGCGTCCAGCTAGGCCGGCCCAGCGCTCGGCAGGTTCTAATCCAGGCGTCAGGAAACAACTTGACAAGTTTGGATGTCCAGCGTGTGGTATCACCTGTAAGAGAGCTTTACGTTCTCTGGTTAATATATTGTCAAAGCCTTTGCTTTGTCTAACCATGTGCGCAGGATGCACAAGCAGCCTCAGCTCTGAGTGGTAAATCAGTGAGGCTTCTCCCTCCTCACCACTTCAGAGCCTTGGAAGAGCTGTGGCCTATGGAATATTTCTGTCCTGGACTCAGGCCAGGACATTTGAGATGATTGAACTATTCCCTGCTGGTAGCTTCAATTATCATTTTTTTTTTCTTTTTTTTTTGTTGTATAAGCACTAATGTATGTTGCACTTTAGACTATTTTGTGTGTCCTGGAGGCAGGCAGCTGGTTTGCGAAGTGCTGCACACACTTATTTTCAGTAAGTCCTTCAAAGTGCTTGTATTGACCCTAGTGTAGTCCAGACGTGACTAAAGAGCCAACACACAACCTGGATGAGGATGCCCGTGAAGAAGAGCCAAAGCACTTTGCTGTCTAAGTGTGATTTCCTTCCCATGTTGGCTCATGGCTCAGAAAGTCTGGTCACATCAATAGTCAGAACAGCTTTAAACAGTATCTTATACCACAGAAATGCTTTTAGCATCGTTATGCTGAGAAAGTTGTGCTTTTGACAGGGCTGTAAAACTAAGACCATGTAAAATTACATGTGTTTGTCACCCATCCTTCTGTCATCGTGGCTCCGGATAAGCCTTTGTGGATGGGGGAGCCAGGCAGGGCAGGGAAGGTCTGTGAGAGCACTCAGGGCACTAACACCATGGATAAATAACTCAGGGAATGGGATCAGCAGCGGGAAAAGTCAGGAGAAGTCAGATGTTCTATTACCATAGTCATTACGCTCTCTATGTGTATTTTGCTTGTGTCAGCTTTATGCAAACCTAAGTTGTAGCCTCTTTTAAAGCCCGGAGAGGAAGACCAGTCTTATTTGCCAAACGCAAAGGACATTCTTGTGTGGAGATGGAAGCTGCTGCATTTCAGCGTGTGCCCCTGCTGTCGCTGCCTGCCCTGGCTCGAGCCCCATCCTGCTGCACTAGTGCTGGGCAGCCGGGGACATCCCAAATAAATGACGCCTTTTACGGCGGATCATTTCTGCTCAGTCGCTTCCTCCCTGCTCGGAGTGTCCTTAACTCTGACCTCTCTGCGAGTAATATCACTGATGTCAAATGTTAAACTGCCTTTAGTTCTCAGGGACATATTGCATTATTTATTTAGGGGCATATTACATAAACTGTCTATTTATTTATTTATTTTATTTATTTCCTGGTCATAAATTTGTAGTCTTGGTTTTAGAACCAGGGCTATAAATCTGGCCAGTATTTTACATATTGTGTTAGGGTTTGCCTGAAATCCCATGTATGTCAATGAAAACTAACTTAATGACTTCAGTGAACAGGGCACTTGAGAAGGAAGGCAAAATGGTCATTTTAAGATAAGGAAGATTGTGTCCAAGTCATGTTTGCCATCAATGACAGGAAATAAAAACAATTCATATATATTGTGCAACATTTTCTTGCTTCCCACTTGCACCTAGCTCTGAGGTAGAGGGCAACTGTTGCTACCTCTTAATCCTGCTTTATAAACACAAACACAAGACATAGAAACCTGTGTCCGTCTGGTACACGGAATCTGGGAACCTTGCAGCTCACAGCCGCAGTCCCTTGGGAATGCATCCTGCCGGGATGTATTTCTGAAGAAAATACATCCATGGGCAGCCTGGGGGGCTGGAGGGAAGAAGGGCCATGCCAGGGAATGCAGATGTCCCGCGGGTAACTGGGGCAGGGACAGCGAGGGATGGAGCTGCAGGGAAAGTGCAGGGAAGGCAGAAACGGTGCTGCTTCCCACAAGGAATATTCACGGACCCAGCATAACCCCCCAGGGAAAAATTAAAAAAAAAAATAAAAAATGAGGCATGTAAATACTCTGAGCCCATAATCTAAGATCTAATGACTCGCTGGTGTGTAATAAGTCAGAAAATGTAAAGTATTGAATTTTGGGTTGACGAAACGGTTAGTGATTCACAGTTTTGTTCTCTCTTTTTCTTTTTCCTTTTTTTTTTTTTTTTTTTTTTAAATATATGTGTGTGTGAGAAAAAATGCTATTACTTCACGTATACAATAAAAATGCACTGGGGACATATTATTTTCATTGCTTGCCTTTATGCAAGCAATTCAAAACAGACCTGCTTCAAAGAGCAGCAAAATCAATGGCATCCTCTGTTCTTACAAAACAGGGCAGTTTTATCACACACCAAAAGAGAAATCAGTGTTTCTATTTGCGGCATCTTAGCCATGTTCTTTACTTTTCATAAAAAATTTTGCAGAAAAGGCCAGACACTCTGCTTTTTTCCTTTTTTTTTTTTTTTTTCCAAGTAGAAGCAAAAACCAACACAGTGGAAATCTATTTTCTGTAAAAACCCGTCTGCATTTCCATTGTTTTCCTCAAAGCATCCCGAACATTTAGAGGAATATGAAAATACATAATTATACTTAAGKAAACTAGATAATATTTTTAGTTTCCTCTTATTTTAGCTATTACACGTGTGAGGAAAACGAAGTTTCATATTGCTTGAGCAGGCTTTTCCTCAGTAATTGGAGGAAAAGYTGTGGAATGGTAAGATTTTGCAATTATGCTAAAATGACAAAGTAGTGAGTGTTGGGAGGATGGTATAACATCTATAGTGATAAAATAGTTTAAAATAATGGGTTTTTTTGCTGTTGTTTTGATTTTRTGTGTGTTTTTTTTCTGTTTGGGGTAGACTCGCTGTCTATGCGGGCAGTTTTTCCCACTAGAGGGAGATGCAGCCCCAAGGCCTGGCAGGGCCGAGCACGTCCATGGGGACGGCTCTTGCGCCACTGCTGGCTCCAACTGTGAAACCCTCCCCTGCTCGGGGAAGCCGCTTTATGCCTTTCTGCTCTCGGCGAGAGAAGAGCGGGGAAGGTTTTGACTGAAAACCGAGGTTTTAAGATGAAAAGGGACTCAGTGAGGGGGGGTGACACCGGCCGCCCTGTCCCATGGTGCACCGCGAGCGAGCCGCACCCGCCGCCGGACTACACCCCCCACAAGGCCTTGCGGCCGCGCTTTGCGGCCCTCCCTGCCGCACGGCGTCGTGCGGCGGCGCGGCGCTTTACGGCCGAAGCCGGCCTGGCGGCGGCGGCGCGGCGCTGCCCGGAGCCCCGGCGGGCGCCATGGGCGGCGGGCGGTGATCGCTGCCCTCGCGCCGCCTCGCAGGGGCCCCATGGAGGAGGAGAGCATGGAGGAGGAGGGCGGCGGCTGCGAGCCCATGATGGACGACCAGAACCACAACAACTGGGGCGCCGGCGGCTACGCGCGGCACCTGCTGGGCCCGGCCGCGGGGCCGCTCGGCGACCGCCTCCTGCGCGGCGGCCCCGGCGGGCTGGGCCCGGGCCCGGCCGCGCCGCAGCTGCCCGAGGCCAACGGCGTCATGAGGAGCTGCGACCCCGCGGCGGCCGCGGGCAAGGGGGGCGCCGGAGCCATCGCCGCCGCCATCAACATCAACGCCTCGACCTCCAAGTTCCGTGAGTGACCGAGCAGCGAGCGAGCGGGCCGGGCCCCTCTGCGGGTACCGGGGGCGCGTCCCCGTCCCCCGGGTTGTCAGGGCTCTGCAGCTGCCCCTGCCTTCCGCCCCCCTTCCCTGATGTCCCCTGAGCKCCTGGCCTGGCCCAGAACAGGCCCATTTCATGGTGTGAGCCGTGAGGGAAAACCAAACGTGCCAGGGCGGGCTGCTCCCTTGCAGGGAGAAAACGTCCCCTCCCTTGCGTGCTCCTGAGCCTCCCTTGCTTCCCTGTCAGGGCAGGGAGACGCGTGAGGATGTTGGGTGTTAGTGCTGGAAGAGCGAGTGTGTCCTGGGTCGATGGAGGTACTGTGGCTTTTCCTGAAGTCTTGCTCGGACAGGGCTTGCCTCAAGATTGTTTCTTTCTGAATTAAAAGCTAACGCTGGCCCTGGCTGGTGGACAGCAATAAAAACAAATGCCCCACATATGGCTGTGAAACCTTTTTCTGACTATTGAAACTGTGGATTAGTGGTATCTGGAGTGTCTGCCCTTCTGGAAAGGTTATACATGTCCGTGAAAATATGCTTAGAAGAGGAGACTGATTTACCCAATTACCCAAGGAAATGCTTCTGAAATGCTCAGGAACCTTTTGGATGTAGCCCTTGACAGAAACAGCAAGCACCAAGAATTTTCTGTGGTTTTGCTGAGCTAAGATCTAGCTACTTTTTCTACTTTTAATCCCGAAAGTCTTGCTTCAGGGTGAAATGTATCATTTTCGCTAATGACTGTCAGAAAGCTTGGATTTGGCTAATTAGAGTGTGTGGAAATGTAACTGCCTTGCTGAAATTCCGATGGGAAACACACTCTTTTTTCCCTTCCTTTTTTCCTGTGCCAGCTCACCTGCACAGCTTCCCAGCAGCCCATCTCGGAGCAGCTCAGGAACCAGAAATTCAGGCTTCTGGATCCCTGGCTCTTTGGTAGCCCCGGCCTTGGGCAGTTTGCCAAGACCAGCGGCTTTGAAGTTAAGGCTCCCAGACACCTTGAGCCTCTTGGCTCCGTGCCTGCGTAGCTGTTGGGGCTCCAGGTACCCAGGGGTGGCTTGAAAATCCTTGCTAAGGTTGAAATAGAGCTAAACTGTTGAATTCCCAGTCTAGAAGCTTAGAGAGCTGCACTGGAGCTTTTGTTTTTTATTTCAGAATGAAAATAGTTTTTAAACTTTAGAACTTCCCCAGAATAGGAAGGTGACTTTCCAGCTAGTTTTACAGCTCAAGTCTGAGTGGGAGAAGAAACAGCTGTGCCTGTTTTTGCTTAGTGTGTGGTTTTGGACTTCTTGTTTTCACTTCTCAAGTGTCAGAATCTGAATCCCAGCACAATATCTGCCTTATTGGTGCTAATAACTGTGTGTGCATGTGTATATTCATATAAAGAAATCCAGAATTCATGTAAAGCATGAAATTCCCTGAGGTATTGTGCTTATTAGAACTCTCTGTTCCTTTTGTTTCCTTGCCTGAGTGTAGCTTTGATGCTGTGTGTATATATATGAATAAAACCAGCCCAGTTGAATGGTTTTGGCTGTGTAGACTTGAATTTCTCAACATCTATTACTTAGATTGCTTTTTTTGAGAACAGGAAGCTTTTCATTCAGCAAAGTAGGTCTCATTCCTTGCTTGTCAAGCAGACACTTAGTCTTGGACACATTTCTCCTACAGGTGATCTTCAAAAATATGAGTCATTTATGGTTTTCTACATTTCTGTGCTGAACTAGAAGTCCAGTGACCTTCATACAGATCCTCCCCTCCTAATTCTTTCCTCCAAAACAAAAAATCATGGCCTGTGTTCTACTGTGTCATTAATCATTTAAGTTCTGGTGGCCAAGTAAAATACAAATTCTTAAGTTTTGCTATTGAGTGTAAAAGTCTCCAGAGCTGCTTTGTGGACGCTGCTTTTGGGAATAACTGCCCAGAGCCTGCGTTTTGTAGGGGAAGAGAGCTCAGGTTGTTGAGAGATGAATGAGGAGGTGAAGTAGCTGCCCAGTAGCTGCTTTGCTGCTCTTGATCAGCTGGATGTTTTTGCATCACGGAGCTTCTGCCTTAGTAATTGTGTATGTACTTGGACCTCTCGTGAACTCTGACATTTCTGAATTTGACATTTGACAGCAAATGACAGTTTTGCTTTCAGATTGCAGGCTTGCATTGGGAAAGCATCCTGCAGTCCTGGCAATGGTGACCTTCCCTTCCCTGTGTTGGTTTCTAGAAGAGATATTAAGCAAGAGCGAGAAACGTGAAGGGAGACTCGAGTGCTGCTCCGAGCAGTGCTTCACTTAGCAGTTTTCCATCCAGCCTCACCCACCCTTCCCCCGAGAAAAAGAATGGGAGTCTTTGTAAAACCTGCTTTTAAGCATTGAATTCAATTTTTTTTTTCTTGTCTCATATCTCTTTAGTCCACATGCTTTTTGTATTCCTCTGTTGTTGTGGAGCTGTTAACCATTCTCTATTTTCTTGAAATTCTTTTTCTGAATTCTACTAAGACAAAGTAATAGCCCAGGCTCTCTTCAGCCTCACTGAAACTGAGTTCAGAAAACCTGTCCCTCAAAAGCAGCTGTGAATGTACATTTAGATATAGAGTATTCTACACCCCCTAATCTTGACTGAATCTTGTTCTTCTGTATGCAACAACTTCAGTGTTACAAATTTTGGTCTCCTGCAGAGCTGTGTAATTCTGTGTCAGCCCTTGATTTCTCAGTCAAGCCTCTAAGCTGCTTTTATTTATTTATTTTTGTCATACTAGAACTGCCAGTAGTTTATATTTTTACTTGCTACATAGGACCTTAGAGTAGAGGTGTCCAGGAACTATTTTATCTGGCTTTCTGTTTTTTGTAATTGTAAAGGTACAATTTCAATTATAGGCTTTATTTTTAGATGATGGTAGCAGAAGTGAACTCTTCCCCTTTTTTGGCCAACATATCTGTGCAATCTGCAGTTGATTGTTCCCTTGCTTCAGTTCTTTTAGTTTAAGTTACTAAACGTGGTTTTGTCTTTTATTTGCAGTAATGAATGTTATAACAATTGAAGACTATAAGAGCACATATTGGCCAAAGCTGGACAGTGCCATAGATCAACTTTTAACTCAGAGTCCTGGTGACTACATCCCTATATCCTATGAACAAATATACAGGTAAGGAAATCTTTAAATGCTAAGGAAATCTTTAAATGCTATATGGCTGTTGCTAAGTTAAATATTTGTTCTTTTTTGTAGAGTATGCATATACAGTATTTTGTATGTATGGGTGAGAAAGATACAGTGTGTTTAAACAGCATGTAAAAATACTAAGTGTCTTAGCTTCTCACATTAACAGCAGTAAGCACTAAAGACGAATGCCTAAAGGTCGAAAATATTAACACTGAAGTAAGCTCTAACAGTTGTTTAGTGTAGATTAGAATTGGATTAAGTTCCCAACATCATTGACCATAGACATGGAAGAGCTTGGCATGTTATTGATAAAGTGTTTGAAAGGGCTTCTTTGTCTTTTTTAATAGCAGTTAATATGATGCATTAGAAGTGCAGAAATAAATCAAAGTTACTGAGATCCCTCAAGTCTAAAACCTGTCATTTGGGTGTTTGATTTAAGACTAGATTTAGATCAGTTTTCCCTTTGACCAAGCAACCTGTTGGTTAAAGACTGTCTGAAGTTTTGGTTGAGACCGTAGTACTTACTTTGATCTGGACAGCATTTGGCTTGCACCTGCCCTGGAGCTTCTGTTTGGTGCTCAGCTCCCACGGCAATCTCGATCACTCAGTGAATTGCCCAACAGACTGAGCCAGCGCACAGCAGTTGTCTTGGTAGGGGATTTGCTTCAAAACTGCACTACTGCTCTAAACCAAATTGCTAAATTTGGTGCAGTTTTTAGAGACCTAAGAGGTTCTTAGCTGGCTACACAGAAGGGATTGTTGTCGTTGATATTCAGTGTAAGTTGACAGGTATCCAGTGTGTAGGTTAATAGGGAAACTGGGAAGAAGCTGTTGTTTTTACTGTTTATATTGCAAGTAAAACCACTTGGCCTTTGCTAGCAGTACAAGTAGCAGTGCTGTCTTCCCTGCCATCGTGTTGCACTCCAAAAAATAACATGGGTATCTTGGTCACTTGTTTTGAGAATGAACCTCTCGGCCCTTCTGTCTCCTGCGCACATGCTCTTAGCTGCTGTGGTCTCAGCCTGAAGCTTTAAAGTAAGGATAGATACAAGAGTAGCAGGTCTTCCCTTTTAACTCCATCCGAAAACTTCAGTAAGCTTCCCCATTCCTATTCCCACTTTTTTGGAACTGTTTAGGACTTAGCAGCATCCATATGAGTAATACGTGAATAATTGAGATGCTCAATTTGAGTTTAGGGAGATGTTGAAACTTCAGTTTAAATAATCCAAATAATCTCTGTAATTCAAAATCTCCTGTGTGCCTATAGCAATCAATAATAGTTAAACTGACATCTATTGATTGTGATCTCGGCTCTAACAGTAGACGTGTAAGGTCAGTGCTACAATAATTGGAGTAGTTCTATACCTAGTTATGGTTTCCAGATAAATTGATTTTTATCATCATTATACTTTTCAAAAGCTTTTATATACTGAAAGTATAATCTTTATTTCTGGATTTTAAATTTCTCCTAGATGATATATATGTACATTAGSACAATACTCAGGGTTGTCCTGCTGTTTGGTGTTACTGATAAAGCTATAAAGCTAGCATGTCAGTTTTTGAAGTTTTTCTAAATATTAATTTTATGAGCATAATTTCTCTGATAACAACCAGAGTTTTATTCTTTATAGTAATAATTATTATTGTTACTTTAATTAAAGAAAGTGTATCTTTGCCTAATCTAAACAAAATAGATTAGAGACAGAAGAAAACTGCCTTTGTTGTTGTATTCTAGTGATGACATTTGTTTGGAGACAACAGGAAGTCTGTAGCACACCTAGGGTTTGGATTTTCTCTGTCTCTCCAGGCTAGTTCTTCATTTTGAACTGGGTGCTTTTATTTATTTATTTTTTTAATGTCAATGGTTCAAACARCTATTTATTATAGAGAGGCAGAGTTGAAAAATCGTGATGGTTTTGATCACCTTTGTACTGACCAAAGGAATCAAGGTTTCTATAGCGCAAATTGGAAATACCCTTTTAGACAGCAGAACAGTATTTTGTCTGATCAGTCTTATCTGTAGGTGTCTAGTCCACAGACGTGTACAGAGTTTGTGTATAGGGATATCTACATGGATCAGTTACCACACTGTGGTAACTTAACGTTTAGCTTTTGTTTTCATGCTTGAGCCCAAACCTTACCTCTGTATAGTCACCTCTTACTAAAAGACTTAAATATATTGTCAAAAACTTGTGAAGGAAAATGAGGAGATGAGGAAAATAGGAATTGTTAAGCTGTGTTTGTGGTTGYTTTAACAACTATTCTCAGGTGTAGTGCAATTATATTGATATTATTCAAGATAACCTGAATCTCAGACCTACATTCCTCTCACAAGTTCTAGTTTCCTTTTTGGGCTTCATTTTCTTAAGGCTCTAGATTATGCTAAAGGACTAACAAGCTGGTGACTTCTGGCTGGTAGGAGGGCAAGGATGATTCAGAAGATCAGCCCACAATCAGGAAGTGAAAACAGGATGTGAAAATTGGGAAATAACCCCTAAGTAGAAGTGCTCAAGTGAAATGTAAACATGCTGTGCATGTACATACAGAGGCTGGTGTTTGGCTGCAGAATGTCTTGTAGGAGTATGCACAGTAATATTGTGTGTATTAAGCAGACATATACTTCAAAATTGGGTTTRATTAGATAGTTACGAATGAAAGAGCTTGTGGAAGTAACTATATACTGGTTATTAAGTAAACAAAACTGTACAGCTGTTTGCTGTTGTCTCCTAGTGACTGGTTTGTAAGAAATCACAAAAATCAGTTTGGCTGTTTTTTTTTTTCCCCTGTGTTTTGCTCTGATCCAAATTAGATTGCTATTTTTGCTGTTACTGCATCGTACAAAAATGTCTTTAATGTTCAGTGATTGCAAAATAGGTTCTGCTATTGGTAGACTCCATGCTAAAGAAAATAGACTTACGTTACCAAGAGATTTGTAGTATCTAACTGCAGATAATTACTTTCCAAATATAATAGGATGAGAGGTGTTTTTTTTAAGGTACAGCATAGTTTGTCAGATGAAGACTTTACAAARGGTTGAACAGAGTATTTTAATTGCTATATGGAGAATGCTAGTGTATAAAGGAGTACTGAATTTTTTGGTGATAGTTTGCTGTGGAACTCCAGGAAAACTCTGAGGGTGACAGTTGCTGATTGAGCAAGCTGTCTTGGCCCCTGAACGTGTGGTGTTAATGCCTAATGGTTCATTGCATTGCAGAATTACAGTAGCCCTTAATTTACTTCTCATTTAATCCCATCTTTGCAAGTTGTTTTCTTTTTGTAAAACTTCCTCATGGGAGAGTTGTAATGTTTGCAGTTCGAGTCACTGTACCAGAGAGGCATTAGGGATGGTGCTGTACCRTGGCTTTAGCCTTGAAAGTCTACTGGCAGCAGACAGAATTCAAGCCTGGAATAGGAGCCTTACTAGAAACAGAGCTTTTATTGGTATGTGCTGAAGGAGCAGGCACTGGTCTAAATCCCTTGCTAAGTAGTGCTTATGGGATAGAGAGAGAAGAGCAGAAATAGAGGCCTGGCGGATGAGAGTCAGCTTTTCCAGATATTGAGTGAATTTTGCTTTGGATTTTTGTAGCTGGTTTTCCAAGTATAGACCTATAGAATAAAAGCATAAAGTAAACCTAAAAGCTGCTTAGTATAAGTAACATGAGTGTCAGTTCTGAAGATTGACTAACTTAATGTAACCTTGCTCAAAGTAATATACATGTTTATTTTATACTTGTTTTGAATGTATTCTTAAGGTATTTAATAATTCTGACAATGCAGACAAGCTGTTATAGCATRCTCTATGGGAATATTAAACTATTTTTGAAGAGCAAAGCATTGAAGGTCAGAGTTAATCCAACCAACCATGGAAGGCAGAATTAAAATTTGATGCACTTTCTCACATCTTCTTTCATTGTGAAAATGTAGAGGTATTTAAATTGCATGCTTGTATTTATTTTTATAGATTTTTTTTTGTGATTTCCTTTAAAACATCAGCGTTTTGATAGGCTGTGTTGCCCATCCTTTAGTAGGGATTTTTCCCTAGAATTATACACATTCTTAAACCTTCTTATTATAGTGGAGGTTTTATTCATGTAGATTTTTAATCATTCCATTAAACCTATTATCCTCTAAATTGTGACATGAACAAACTTTTTAAAGTCTGTTTCTTTCCATTGCAAACTGTTGTAAGTTCATTGTTTGTTCCTATATTTGTTTCTGCAGTTGTGTGTATAAGTGTGTATGCCAGCAGCATTCGGAACAGATGTATAGTGACCTAATAAAAAAGATAACTAACCACTTAGAGAGAGTCTCAAAGGAGCTGCAGGTAAGAAGCTGCACAATCTAATTCTGTCTTTCCTGGGATCTGTGGTTATGTCAGAGTAGTGTGAAGACAGACGATGGAGGGGATTGCCTTTAAGATTAATTTATACTAGTTTACTGAGCTKTATGCGACTTGATTCCCCACTAACTGGCTGTGAGACAGAGCACCAACTTTTAAGTGAAATTATATGGCATCTGGTTAGCCTTAGAAAAATGCAGCACAGTGGCTAACATCGTATGTAGTAAAGAATCAAAGTCTGGATGCTAGATAATCTAGAGTGCATCTAGATAATCTAGTCTAGGCTGTAAATATTTCAGTCAAACAGGATATGAGCACATGATACCAATGTCTGACATTAGGTTAATCTATATAAACTGTTTATTGTCCTTGTCAGAAGGACCATCAGAAGCAAGGCAAAAGGGAGGATCTAGAGAAGTACTTAATTTAAGTATGAGTTATGAACTATACACAATGAATTCCTATGTATGAAATTGAATGCTAGAGATTATTCTGCATTTTTTGTACCTATCTCTAGATGTCAGTGGTTTACAGCAGTCCAAATACAACCTGTGTATGCCTGTCCTTCTGTGCATATCTTTTTTGCATCCGTATTTGTTTTTGTGTGTATTCCTTGTCTAAAACTCCTTTTAAGATCTGCAAATTGTCATTGCTATAGCAGCAGTACTGTTATATTTTCTCGCAGCTTTTTTTTTTTTTTTTAGTTCCAAATGTTAAAGTTCAGGGCTGACTAGCAGTGAGTCAAACAGAGACTCCAAATCTCCAGGAAACCTTAACCTCAGCACCAAAACCCTTCTAATAATTGAGAACTAATTTCATATGCCATATCAGATACAGCTAGCCATGTTTGTCCATATGCATACAGCACTTTTGTAATTCTGGTGTTCTTACTTTTTCTACCCTTTTCCTCTTAGTTTTCTTAAAAGAAAAAAGTCCCTAAATTTTATGGCTGTTGTCTTTGGGACAGTCTGACTGTGGAGTATTTAGCTCGTCTTGAGCCAGATTCTCTCTTTCTTTTCTGCTGTACAGCTCTTTATTCCTGAGGTAATGACAGCCTTGACTGCTCTGTAAAAACTGCTCAACGTGGATGAACGTAATATTTAGAATAAAGTCTTCCCTTGGTCCTGTTGAACTGGTGCAGCCTGTAATTTTTTTGACTCTGATTGTGAGAACTGAGAGTCATTGCAGCTGTGCTGGTTTGGCTGGTTTTCCTGATACATCCGTGGCAGTGCTGTGCTTTCCTCTGAATCCGGGAATACCCAGGGCTCTGGTGCAGTCCTCAGCACTGTCTTCCTAAGGTTCAAAACTGGCTGAAGTGGCTGGCTTTAAAATTTCCTCTAGTCCATAAAGGTATTAAAATGCATCTGCTTAAAGACCAGGTTCCCTGCTGAACATCAGTTGCTGAAAGAATAATTGAGCCAGCTGTTTAATGCAATCTCTGTCTTGCAAGAGTTTCCTGACGTAGGTTAGGCACACCTTGTGGCAGGTGCAAAGATGACTGTAACATAACACGATATAATCTTTGATATAAATGTATGATGTGTTCTTTATCTAAAGCAAATACGACTTTATGTTTTTAGATTCTAAATCCCTCTTTTGAGCACCTTGAATTCACACTTCATGCCTGGGTGAAGTGTGACTTCATCCACACACTGGGATGCCTGGGAAAATTGTCTTGTAAATAAACTATATGCTTTAGCTTTGGATTGTGAAATTGGCTATTAAGGAATTACTTTTTTTAGAATACATATTATCCTTTTTAGTTCTTAAAATGCATGGGTGATATTGACTCACCTTCTTTCTTTTTATGGGGCAATAGACCTTTCCCCAGTTACTCGGTATATGTTGGTCTCTTCTGCTGTTGAATTCCTGGAAGACTTTTAGTCCATAAAGCSAAACAAAAAAGCATTCACATAAATAATGACTTAAATGAACACTGTGTGGTACCTTGTTTTCTTTGAGAGTCACCCCCACTGCCAGCAAAGTTTGATGTAATTACTGGCCTCTGTTTAACTGACAATGTGCGACTTGATGCAYGCTCATTTTTTCATGTAAGGAGACAAATATAGGCCAACACAGGCAAGGATATTGATTTTTTTCAGTGAGAAGGAGGGTGATTATGAAAACTAAAATGCCCAGGACTAGCAGAGCAGCAGCTCTGCACCRAAGTGCTGCAGTTCTTCGGCAGGTGGATTGCGGAACATCCGCGTATCAGCGACGTGCTGGAATGAGCCCTTTTCCCAGGAAAACCTCGCCTACCACAACAGCAGTAAAACAGTCAGATGCCAAAACGTAAAAGCCTCTCGGGAGCCTCGTGAAGTCTGAGCATTCTCACCTTGGCTTTGTTCTGGCTGCCTTAGAGTTGCTCCGCTGCCTGCATTGCAGAGGCAGTGGGAGAACGTGGGCAGGCTGATGCTGATGGATATGGCTGCGTTAGGGTGTAGGGCAGTGAACGCTCTGTACCAGGAACRTATGTGACATTAATCACTTGTTGTGCCACCATCAGCTCTTTGGGACAGACCCCTCCTGTCACAAGACTTTAAAATGTCAGAATGCACTGACATGTTGAGCTGATGTCTGAGAACAGTAGCCTTTCCAGGCAAGCACAGATATATTTTCATTTTAGTTAGAATACTCTGAGTCACTTGGCACACTGTTTTTATTTAAGGCAAAGGAAGGAAAGAAACCAGTCAATTCTAAATCTTGTCCAGAAAGAAATGTTGAGTTCATTAATTGAATTATTAATCTGATAGCTTTATAGTATTGATCAGATTAGAAACCATCAGAGGCCTGGCTCTGAACCTTGGCTGTCTTTTTGTACTGATTAATCTTTTAGAAACGTTTGTTTAACCTTCAGTATTTCTTATTATAGAAGGCATAAAGTATAAACCATAGAAGAGACTTGTAGTGTTTACCTTACTGTGAGCTTTGCTTATACTATGGATGGTGTGAAAGTGTCACTAARTAGTGTTCTGACTGTGTCATGTTGTGAGTGGGTAACCTGATACAGAGTGACTCTTGATGGGCATTCCTTTGGGTGATTCTACCATAAATTGCTTTGTGGATATATTTTGCTTTCCTTCTCAGGTGCATTGATTACCTTTATATAGTGATATGTATTATAATTGAAGAGTTTTGAACACCATGCCTGTGAGGAAGCCTTTCCTTATTATATTGCAGGGGGCACTGTTAACATGCCAGCCAAATGAGAACTGAGAAGCTTCTGCAGGTATTGATATCTCCTCTCTTGTAGCACAGAAATAATRCTGAAATTAACTTTAAAACCAAAATTGTCTCCTCCCTGAAACGCTTCAGAGATGTTAGTTTCCCAACCACTTGCTGAGAAGACAGATCTGCCACTGCTAAATTCTGCCTGATGCAGAAAGCAGCAGAGGTAGAAAACTGAAATCTCGCATTTCCTGACTCTTGTTGCTAAATACATTAAATTATTAGCATTTCTTGAAGTCCATTTGGGTCACTGGGATGTCCTGTTAACAACTGTGGTCCATTTTACATCTTTTAAACAGCAGGGCTGAGTCTTTCTTATCTGGCCTAAGGTCTTTAAAAGAACTGTCCCCGCCCCTCAAATCTCCAGTGCCGTGGCCCTTCACCCATCAGTTTTGCGAGGGCAGTGGTGTTTAGTTGTCATGAAACGAGCCCTGGATCCTGGGGTTACACAGTGACTTGAGTGGGATTGAATGGATGTTGCAGTAATGGAACAGAAATTGTAGCAATGTGTGCATCTTAATATGGGGGCCTCCGAGGAGGTGGCTTTTGACAGGAAATAGGAGTAAGTCACCAAATCATCAGAATTGCCCTTAAAAATTACCGTGCTGTGAAAAAAGCTGTACCTGCAGCTTTTCAGGAAGACTTGTGTTTTACTTTCTCGTACTAAACTGTGCTGCAGACCCTGATATAATCAGAGAGAGATGTAAGCAAATGTGGCACGTGAGAATGAGTTATCTACTAGATGGAAAAATTCGGAAGGTTTCTTATATTTAAACAGTTTTGGCGATTGCTTAAATTGTAGGTCTTTCTGTTTTATGAACATTATTTGAAAGGGAAATGAAGCCCAGACGTTTGAAGGACTCYGCTCTGCAGGGTTGAGACTGTTGTGATGCAATACAGTTCGAACAGTTTTGAGGGCCCCCGAGCACTGCAACACAGTCAGCTAGTGTTTGGGTGGCCTTGATGTCTGTTTCTAAAGTTTTAGCGGTGCTTTCATTTAGTGCCATTGACTTGGKCATCGCAGATCTGTTCTCCTAGAGCCCATAAGCAAATGACACTTTGCTGAGCAACAAAGAAAGATGATTTGAAAGATTCAGGCTGTTCCTTGCATGAACAAYGGGTTAATTTGTGTAGGCAGGTGTTCTGGTGTTCCTTCATATGTGGAATCAAAGCCCGGTGTTCAAACAACACTTTTGAGCTCTCAAACTGGAAAAAAGAGCCTCACTTTTTCCACATGTTTGTTGCATGCAAGATAACTATAATGACTTGCTACAAGATTTCAAACAAGAGAAAGGTGGTTTCGTTTGCTTCTGTTTGAGGGCGTCTGTCTTGCATGTCATCCTCTCGTGGGTGTTTTTGTTGGCATTTCTCTCRTCTGTCAGTGCTGTGAGATGTCCAGGGTGGTATATGAGGAGGTTAAATGGTGTCTCGAATACCAGCTTTTAGCAGCAGCCATAGGAAGTCATGCTAGCAGAGAAGTCTTGACCTCTTCAGCTTGTTTTTTTGAGAAATGCAATCCATTGCAGCTTGAGAAATCTGAGCAAACCTCCCAGCACTGTAGAGCTGCTGCTAGAAAACAGTGTTTAGCTCTGAGTGACAGGTGAGAGCAATTGTAGGGGTGGACTTGCTCTATCTGCCCTAATAGAGCACCTTGAGCAAGATAAAGCTGTCAGTGAGCACGGAGTGTGAAAGATCCYGCTCCTTCCAGGAAAACCTTTGACTACCACTGTAGCCTTTGTGCTCTGTTTGAACAGCTGCCTTAATGCAGACCCTTAGGAAAGAGAGAAGTGGCTTTTATACGTGTGGTTTTTAAGAAGCAAATGTCAGACTTTTTTCCCCTTAGTTGAAACAGCTGAATGTGGTGTGTTTTCTCTATTACGACCAAGGGAGGTTTTTTTTTCCCCCATCCTAAGCAGTTTCCTAACTTTTATGATGCTTATAGCTGAAATTGTAGAGATTTGAGATGTAAGCTGTGCTTTAATGATGGCCATTAAATAGGAAAAATCTAAGCAATAGCYGTGCAGTCAGGACAGCATTTGTTTAGCAGATTTGGTGTTAACCACTGCTTTATTGTTTATAAAACTCAAGTAGCATATGGAAAATTAGTTCAAATGCAGTCATTCTTTTATGATGAATACAAATGTGTGGAGAAAGTTGCTATGCTGAAAAAAGTAACTGGTTTCAGTCCAGCAGTTTCGAGCAGCCATAGAACAGCACATTGAACAGCAAAGACGGAGAGCATCGGGGTGGCTATGTTTTCTCCACATGGATTATTATTATTCTTAGATAATAAACTGAAAATACTGTTCTTGAATTCTCTTGGGTTTGTGTTTTTGTTAGTTTACAGATCAAGCAGGAAAAGAGAAGAGCTTGAGTGGTCAAGTTTTTCTTTGGAACAAATGGAAATGCTTATTGAGCACTTTCTTGTTAGTGCCTTGACTGTCAAGCTGTGAGGTTGCTGTGGAACAKTATTAGGAGAATAAAACTTGGAACTGTCCCGTAGTTCATATGAATTAAGCAGTTAACACTGTGATTTCGTGTTCTGGAGGCTAAAACCAGGCCTAATATTCATCCTACGCTAGTGAGTGCCTTCCGAGAAGATGGTAGATCTCTTGCACTTCTTGGTTTTGGTCTAAAACTATTATTTTCTGCTTGGTTTTAAGGTGATTGTAGTCAACAATTTCTAGGTATTCCCTGAAAAGGGTAAATTTACCATCATTAGTAAACAAAGGACTCTTGATATTGTTTTTGGTGYGGTGCATGGTTCTTGTTTCCTCCTAAAACTGTTTTCTTAAGCTTGATGTGACCTGCACTTKGTGATGGGAAGGAAGGATGTGTTTTCATCTTCAGTAGAGAAGAAGAAATAAAATCTTAATGTCTCCTGTAAACAGTAGTGCCAAACTAGACTTGCTCCTTTGGATGGGATTTGTGAAGGTGGCTAAATCATCTTCAGACTATTTTGCAGATAACTCTCGTCCCTTGTAAAGGAAGGTCCAAGCTCTAAGTGCAAGATCAGCACCTGGTGTCACACTATTGTCACCCTCTGATGGTCTTTGAAGCAGAATTTTCTTTTTTTAAAATTCTAAGAAGCTGTATCCAAAGTCTTGACAAGTCAGAAGTTGTYAAATCGGCTTTAAGCAATATCTCTATGTATAAGCTTTAGCAACAGAATATAGAATAACCCTCTATTCCCTTGCCAGATTTTTTTTCATTCTGAAATATCTATTTTGTGTCACTAGGTGTTTATTGTGAATGTTAACATTACCCACATGTTTGAGATTATTTAGGAGGGAGGCAAAAGAAGCTAATACAAGGGGAAAAAAAATCTTAAATTCAGAACACTTCATAGAGTAGAAAATCAATATAAATTTGAATTGAAAGAATGAAGAATCTMCTCAAAGACAGAAGCTTTGCACTGTATCTGGAGGCTTTGCTTTGCAGTCCTTCCAGCTCCACCTCTCTGAATATTTCCCTTGTCTGTGTGACACAGCAAACACTCCAGGTCCTTCTTCATGAAGGACACGGTTCCCTAGAGCTGGGAATGTGCAGGACGGCAGCTCGGATGCAAAGCGGCAGCTCCAGGTCACCTGCTGCCTTGGGGTGACCACAAGCACTTGGGCACATCTGCTCATGGCTTCTACACTTGACACAGAGGTTTTTTTAAGTAGAATGTCTGGTATTTAAATGCTTAATTTAAGTGTTTTGATTTGCTTATATTAAATGCTGATTTATTATAGGCAGAGCATCTTTAACAGTGGACTTGCCCTTTGCTAGGCATGGACACACAGTTACAGGCAAAACAAAAACAGCTGCTGTTTGAAAACATTTTTTGCTAGAGGAAGTTTTAGTAGAAACTCAGCAATAATGTGACTGGCTTTGCGTGGACTGAATCTATTAAATACTTAATATTTTTTGGATTTTTGCTATGAAAGCACAAGCCTTTGGTGTTCCAGATCTTCCTCTTGTTCACATTGCAACCTAATAACTTTTATGGTTTCTTGCAGGCCAGCCCTCCAGATCTCTATATTGAAAGATTTAACATAGCTCTTGGACAGTATATGGGAGCATTGCAGAGCATTGTGCCTCTTTTCATATATATGGTAAGTTTTAGAAAATTCTTTTCAAGTATGTCCATACACAAGATTTTAAATGAAAATTAAGAGTAAAATGCAACTATAACTGTTTTTCTTGGTGGATCMTATTAATACCTGACTCACTTATGTAAGAGTTAGTAAACATGTGGAAGGAAGATAGATCAATGTCTTTAAGTAAACTAAAAATTGTTTCTCTCTTGTGTTCTCTCCGTTCTTGGGAGGGGAAAGATTTTTTATTTTGGTTGGATAAAGTTCTTTACAGATAGTTAGGTCATTCTTTATATCTTTTTGAACAGAGATAGCTAATGAGCTTGTTATATGTTGGCTTGGTAGTTTGGGCAGGTTAGAGCCGATCATTTATTACTCTAAATTGMACTGATTTAAACAGGACAGATGCTACTATTCTGTCGTTCAGACAGAAAATGTTCTGTATTGTCTCTTGGAAATGTCTRTGCACGATCAAGTGACAGTCGAGAGCATTGGGGGGATGAGGGCAAATTTGTTTTCTTAGCTCTATCAAACATACTTGCAGAATCTCAGGAAACACTGGTTGTCCTGCGGATTTTGGAAATTAGGAAATTTTCCATATATCCGGAGTTTATTATTTACGTAGTTTTTGTCACTGTGCCAAAGTTTTTATTGCTTTTTCTTTTATGGTAATGATCAAAATAGATTTGGGTATCACGTTCTCAGAATTGGTATTTGCTTTGGCATTATTCATAAAGAATAAAGAAAGTATTTGTTCATAGAACGGCTTTAAAAAAAAGTTTTTGGTTAAATAGCTGTTAAATTTTTGAATTKATTTCATTGGTAAGTTCTAAGAACTTAGCAGTATCTTTTCAAAGTGTGACCTCTGTTTTGGCAGATGTACCCAAACCCAAGTAATTTGGTATGGTGTTTGTGTACAGTGTAATCATGTAGATTTATTACTGTAAAAGGAAAAAATGGCTTTTTATTTGAACTGAATGCCCTGTAATCTGTTTTTATCTAGTTAATACAGAATGGAATATCTAGTTAGTAGAAAATGGAATCACATTGCCACATTTTTGTCCCTGTTTCTTATCTTGAAATGCCAGGGAAGAGTAGGGAGAGGTTTTTTTCTTGCAATCAGACATTTGTTTTGGCTGCATTTGTCCACCTCTAGGTACCTGACTTGTTTATGCAGGCAGATGTTTAGGCAATCTCACACTTACTGCTTTTGTAAGTGAATGTTAAATTGTGAGCTCTTCAGGTATGTATTTTTATGGGAGAGTCACATCTATCAGGCTCTTGGTCAAACTCCTTCCCCACCAATTAAGCTTGCAGAAATTAGGAAGTGCAAAAGAATGTTCATGATAATAGTACAGAAGCCTTTATTTATGTCTAGGCAAGGTGTAACCCCTGAATAGATTTCAATATCCTACCTTGTACGTGAGTGTAATGAAAGTTTTTCCTGAAAGCTTTGCCTGTCTTTAAAGGAGGAGTGACTGAATTTTGCCATTGCTTAATTTTTAAGAGTATAGACGATAATCTAAAAATAATCAAACCGATTAATGAATGATAAGCAAGTCTATAAAATGAATAGTTTAAAAGAAAGGATTCTTTTGAGAACAAAAGAAAGCTTAGTTTATTATTTCAAAGGAGAAGCTTCGTTAAAACATGACTTGGGCTCTGTTCAGGTAATAAATCTGTTTCTGCCAAYGCTTTTTTATTCAAGCTGTTCCCGAACGCTAGTGACTTCTGAGTTAGATTCTCCCTGTAACAAATACAAGGCTAATGGGCTCAGCCTCACCGACTGTTCTGGAAAATAATGTAAAGTCAAGGTGCATTTTCTCCCTAACCTTCCCAAATATTTCATTCTTTAGTTTAAGATAGAAATGGTTTAAGAAATTAAGTATGATSAAAGACTCAATTACAGTGTGTTGCTTAGCACTTGGTAGAAGATGCATTGGCTGGGGGAGGGAAGCTATTTGAATTTCTAAAACCCACCTCTGAATGAAGTGGACAGGAAATCCTGCTATTTATTGCAGGTTTGAAATTGAGGAATAACACCAAGTAATATATTAAGTTTTAAACTCCTCGTGAACACACCAATAGAGTTTTCTCTGAGGGGTGAAGAAAACCRTTATAAGCCAGAAGTATTAATGCCAAGTGGGTCAAGGCAATAAAATTCTCAAAATCTTAACATGGTTCAATTTTGTGCAACTTTGCCTATATAACTTATTYCTGCAATTGTTTTAATTTCTTTTGACTCTTATTTCCTTTGGATTATCAATGAAGCACAAAAGTAGCTAGCTCCACTGCTGATTTATTATTGAAATATATCTGTATCAGTGGCTTAATTGTTTTCAGACACTAGTAAAATGCTTATCTTGTTATAAGCATGATGGTGTTATCTCTCTCTCTCTCTCTCTCTCTCTCTCTCTCTCTCTCTCTCTCTCTCTCACACATGTATATGGACATTAGCACACCTCATGAATTCTAAATAATGTTTTTATTGTATAGAACATTCCAGAACAATGAAAATGCAGATATGGAGTAAGCACTTTACATGGTCAAATAACTTCAGTGTTAAAAAATGGAACCATTTTTACTAAAGGGCAAGTAAATTTACTGAATTTACTGAAACCGACTGCAAAAGCTTTTGTCTCTCTTTCCAGAATAAATTTTACATAGAAACCAAGCTTAACAGAGACTTAAAAGATGACCTTATAAAGCTGTTTACGGACCATGTTGCAGAAAAGCACATTTACAACCTAATGCGTAAGTAAACCTATTGAATTTTCCTAAAGTCTGAAAAACTGCACTACATTTTCTCCTGGGCATTGTAAAAATCCACAGCAAATAGGGAGGAAACGGCTGSTGGGCTTGAATGCAAATTTGTTTGAGGCATGAGGGAAGGATTTTGCTTTGTTTTTAACTGTGGTAAAAAATGAAATGTTTTGAAGTTGAGCGTTTGTTACAACATTTGCATTTTCCTTTATTCCCTGTGAAAGAATATRGCACACTTTAGCTTTTATTTTATTGTTTTTTTAAAGCATAATTTGAAGTCACAGTTGTCCAAGTTTGGTGAAGCAATGTGTGTTTTCTCCTAAGACATGTGATTTGAGATATTTGCTTTTGAGATATATTTATTTAAAAATGTATTTATATTTATATTGGAGTTATATTGAGATATTTAGCTTTTAGCATAACTAGTATTTTATTGTTTAGGTAGCAGTGCTCTCTACTTTTCAGTGAAAGGCTGGGGGAAAGCAGCCTTGTGTTTTTGGGTCACTGAACCTGGGCATCTTAACAGAATAAATGGGTGAACACGATGAATATCCTGGATTAGGGAATCTGGTGCTCTGCTGTGATGGAAGATGGTGATTCCTGATGCTGGCTTGTTTATGTCATCTGGAAAAACCTCCTAAAAGCAGCTTYTAGCCTTGTAGCAGATCAGCTCACCAAGGAAATAGCAGGAGAGTTAAGAAATGCCGACGCACGGATCTGATGTTTTACCTCAGGCTAAAGAGAATGTCATGAAACGTGGTAACGTGTCTGTGGTTTTCTTGAAGCTGTTGTGACAATATCATGGAAAATGCAACTAACAGTGCATATCACAAGACCTCCAGAACTGTCTTGCGGTGTAATTCATTTTCTTTAACTATGGCAATGCAATCATAAATTAATGTTGCAATGAAAGGTAAAGTACTGTGCAGTGGGAACCACAAATTCTGGTAGTTCCTGCTTTTCCCTTCCTACTTGGTAGTTGCAGAAATCAAATTAAAAGAAGAAAACACTGAAAACACAAAAAAGCTGTTACCTTCTATGTATACTATGGTGAGGGCTATTAACCTCTGGATTTCATTCCAGTCTTAGTTTTAATAAGGTGACAATAAGTTGTTTAGCATTTGTGTGATACTGTTTTCTGATACTTGAATGTGGGTTTGGTTCAGCAAAGTGTTTGTGTATTCTGAGGAAAAAGAGGAAGGCTGTGAGTGCTTAGGAAATTAAAGCCACTGAATTTTTAGTTTATATAGAGGAGAAAAAAGAAGTTCTTGGATGTTTCTTAGAGATGTTACAGCTGCCACTTCAGCATGAGGAAATTTTCCTTCCTCTCCATATATTAGGGAAAAATCAGATTAATCAGTATGAGATGTAAAATTAGAGGGAAAGAGCAACATCTGTTTTTGCTCTTGAAATTTGTTAATATGGGTTTCATACACAGGGATTTTTGTTTGTAGAATCTTGTCATTCTATCAAAGCCTGGAAGCTGGTATTTCTGTTGAAAACTGCGTTCAGGAAGCTCTGTAATTATATTTCAAGTTCACTTGATTTCAGGAAATGCTCCTGCTCCAGCCAAATGCTCAAAACTGTCAGAAGGGGAAACGGCAGCACAAATTTCTTAGTGCTTCTAAGCTTAAACTCCTGCTGGAGAAACAGTCCCCAGTGCTGTGCTGGGTGAAGGTGGGAGATGTGGAATGACCTGTTTTTGTGGGGTTCTGTGGGACAGTCTGAGGACTTAGTCGCAGGAGGAGACCAGAGGATACCTGGAATGGAGGCCGTGTCACCATGTTTGTCATCCAGTTAGAGTGGATCTGTATGAACCAAGTGAATATAACCTGATTATTTTCCTTACGAAACCTAAAGCTGGCTSTTGCTGATAAGGGCAGTGTATTAAACGGTGTGGGAGAATTTGCTGTGTGCAAAACTTATTTAAGTGAGTGTAACAAGCAGAGATGCAGCATCTTACTGGGAAGAATCTTCTGAATTTCAAAAGATGGAGGTAAAACCTGCTCCTCGGTGGGGAGGTGGGGAGGAAAATGCTGCGTTCCTGCTGGGTCCTGCAGGACAGCACTGCAAAAGGGGGAGTGTTTGGAAAATACAGGTTTTCTGTATTTTCTGTCCTTGTACAATTAATGCCTCTTTAGGATAGACGTGGGTTTCCTGACCTGTAATCTCACTGGGATGGAAACATCCTGCCCGATGATTCTTTTTTCTAGAAGAACATGAGTTTTTATGAAATGTTAAGTGTCCTCAGTGATGAAAATAAGTTAAGAGCTCCTGAAACTCCTAATCCTTGGTATTTGCACTGGGTGAAATTCAGTGGGACCGAGTGTTTTATAAGCAAGGACGCTTTCCTCTCTTTCAAGATCAGCAGCTGGGTAGCCAAAGCAAGTTGGCTTTTAAATCTAAATAAATAAATATGTGTGCTGTTGTTTCTGCTGATGATCAACTAACTTCCAGTTACGAGAGTTTGCAGTTACCTCAATTCTCTTCCCAGAAAGTTATACAGGAAGGTGAGCCCTGGCCTGTAACTCTGCGCTGGGAGGTTCTTGCAGCATTCTGGTGCTGAGGAGCAACAATAGCTTAAATGGCTTAAAACTGATCACAAAAGTGAGCRAATTAGGAGGGAATCCAAGGAAATGAAGTCTTTGCTTAGAGCTGTTGTATTTCCTCTCTGTTGTCGGAAGGGACCAGGATGTACAGAATTCCTTAGTTATGGCACTTCCAACTAAACAGCAGTCACTGYGTATCTCGGTGGTACTTAACTGCTGCCTGTGGGTGCCCGTGTGCACTTAGGAGCAGTTTTAATCCCCTTCCATGTTAAGGTTTTGCATTCAGGAAGTGGTTTCTGTTCTTGTAAAACATCTAGGCCTGTGCTAAGCAACTCAGCTCTGTGAAACTGTCCCTTTCCATAGTGCTCTTGTGCATTGGGGCACATCTGCGTTTCTGCCGTTGTGTAAGGGCTCAAATTCTGTGGAGAGGTAAAAATAGCTGCTCTGCAATGATAAATTCACCCCGAGTTCAGTGGAATGGTGCAAATACTGGAGTCAGTACTTAAGAGTTCAGACACTGTGATTAAGTTTTCTCTCTTGTTTTTTTCTTCTGCAGTCTTGTTGCTTGCAGCAGTTCTGCTTYTGTTTAGTGCCTGTGTTTTTATTCAGCTTTGCCTGGCCCTGTCTGCATAAAAGCTGCAGGGAGAGCTGTCTGGAAGGGGTAGGAGTCTGTGTCACTTCTCTGTTGTGGTGTCCAGTTATTCTAGGGAGACTTTGAGTGGAACAGCTGATTAATGCCTTAGTTGTGAAGCTTTTTGGAGTTGCTTCTGGTGCGAATAAGTTTTATACTTTTTGAAAGTGGTGAATAATTACAATTTTGAGCACTCTGCCCTAAGCCATGCTTACATATAGTTTGCTGCAATATTKTATTAGGAAGTTCTATTTGAGTACCACAAAATCTTGTGAGCTGATGTGCAGAGAATTCTTTTTAATTTTGCCAGGAAAAAAAAAATATTTGCCAAGGCAAATTACTTTGTAAAGATTTTAAGGGATAGGAAAGGAGTCTTAGAATAGCAAACTCTTATTTCTTTGGTTACGAACAAGTGATCTTGGAACAAACTGTTTGCTCCTCTTGTAATTACTGGAGATCTTTATCTTAATTACCCCACTGTAATTATAAAGTAGCTTAAACCTTCATTAAAGGATAATCTGCTGTAGTGCTGGATGCACCTGAAGTGCTGACTCGGGGAATGGTTCATGCAGTGGTCCTGCAGGCCCCTGAGGGGGCTATGGGTGTTGTGTCTTACCTCAATGCAACAACATTTTTGAGCACCTTGCAGCTTTCTGCACTCAGCATTTCAGTGTTGGAACCTGTACCCCTGTCATTCTGCAAGGGGTTATTCCCAAGGCTACATGCAACTTGATTAAATCTTTCACATACTGGTTACTTGTGAAATAAAACTGTCTTTTACAAACTAAGTATTGGGGAGGGAGGTTGGATAATATCATGTCTGTCATTATCAGCGGTTTCACCTGAGGTTTGGTTTTATTCTGCCCTATCTGTGTCAATGCTGCAGGCAGAGTTGTCTGGAGGTAGGTAAGAGTCTGTGTAGCGTCTACTGTCAACTCACTGAATGCTCTGAAAAAGCAAGAGGGCAAACGGTATGAATTGGAGGTCTTCTGTAAATGTAAGGTTGTTAAACAACAGCACAGTTAACTCTGCATGTGACACGACTGTTCCTGCTCTTTCTGAGCTTTCAGATGATGCTCTCTTAAAAACTGATGTTGGGTTGAAAGTTTGGGTGGGAATTTGTTTGGTTTGTTGCAAAACTCATTCACAAACAAATTCATCTTCACTTTTACAGCTCTTGTATGTTTATATGGTTGTCTATAAAACTGAGCTGAGATTTTCAGATCCRGAGAAATGTGGAGTCTTATTTGTTCTTAGGGCAATCTCCTGCAGTGGCGTTAATCATCCTTCAGATAGTGACCCAGCTTTTGGAAAAAGTGTGGTCTGGCTGATAGTTTGTGCTATAGAGTTTAATGAATTAAATACTGTTTTCCTTATGCCCTTGGGAAGCCACAGGAAGCACGTGCCACTGCTTGGTGATGTTATTAATGTAGTATGTCAGTGATATTGTGCTGTCGTGTTTGTAAGAGCGACTGTGAAGCAGAAGTGGGTGATTAGCACCCGCGTTGGGTGGGGTGGAAGGTGTTCCCCAAAACCCAAGTGGTGCTGAGAGACTCCTGYCATAGGGCAGGGAAGGAGGTACCTCCATCCTGAGGGGATTGACCTCTAGGTGGATTCTCTCACTGATCTTGTTCATGAAATTGGTTTCTACAGGGGGTATGGTCAGCAATCTAGAGTAAAAGCAAGTGTATTTCACTGCTTCCTATCACAAAAGCATCTGTTCAGATTATCCGATTCATGGTGGAATTGAGTTTTATGGGTGTAAATTGGTTTCAGAAGTAGCCTATGAGAAATGTTGCGTGTTTGTACTGGTGAGTTATCCATAGCTTCTGAAATATCTGTAAACTACTCCTAGTGGTTATAAACTGAACATTATTGGAGGTTGCARGTCATAGTTTACCAGGAATAAACTCAAGAAGCTACAGTAATCCATTTGTATCTTAGCACTTGTTAAAAACGAAATGCTCAAGTGATTTTTTTTAATCCAGATTTTTGTAGTCTGCACTACTGTTAGACTCGCTCTATTTTTAAATAAGTTGTTTGCATGATAGAAAATATGAACAAATCTATTTACGCATCTTTTGGTGAGATTTGTATTGAAGTAGCAGTAACCTAATTAAAAGCATGTATAGTGTATGGGCTGTATATAACTGAACTGTACATGTGAAACCTTCTCCCCTTTTAATTTTTATAATTTGTAACTTGGCTGTGAGGAAGCTATCTGGAAGAGTAGTGTTTAGGGAAGAGACTGTAAGTGCATCATTACAAAACAAATCACAGGTCCTCATCTGAAGGCTTCAGCTGTGGAAGATGAGGCTATTTGTAAAGTAAATACTTCTATAACAGTTGCATTTAACTGTTTTGATAACTTAGACCAAGAGGTTAGAGCAAAATATTTTCTTAGTCAGTCTCCCTATTTTGTGAGCTGCTTTACTGAGATTCAGGATAATAGCATTTTTTTTTCCTTTTTGTGTAGGTGCCATAGTGGCAGATGTTAATTCCAGAGCTTCTGCAGTTCCTCTTTTAAAAAAACAGAGTCTCCACAGTGCAGGAAGAAGAGATATTAGCCCCTAGCCTGTTAGGTAGAATGGTAACAGTCTTTTCTCCTTTATATAGTGACTTATATAATGCACAAATCCTTTATAGAAACATAAAACCTGAGAAGCAGCAGTTGGTTCAACTTCACTATTTTGTTTTGTTTGTCTATTTTATAATTCATACACATCACAAACATGAAATTAAATTCAAACAGGCTAAAATCTCAGATACAATAACAGTCTGCTACTACCTACAGGCTTTTCCCYCAAGAGAYGGATGCCCAAATTGATGTGTTTACTATAGCTGATACCAAGAATGAAACAGAAATGTTGATTCTTGTTTGGAGAAAGAACAAACAACGTCATATTTGTTTTCATACTTAAATGTACTTCATTCGTAGACTTTAAATCCACCCTGTTTTATGGACAAGATGTTAAATATGATAATACAAGGATCTGTGGGACTGTTCATGATCAGAGTGCAAAAGTGCTTCTAAAAATAAATTGTTTCTTAGTTCTCCAGCTGAATACTTAAAATGCTGTTGCTTGCTTGTTTGTTTCCCTCCTTGCAGCTTCAGATACCAAGCTTAAAATGGAAGAAAATAACTTATTTCACATTTGCGTTGTGCCTAATTTGAATAGGATACTTTACGCAACCTTATCTGTTATAACCCCTAAGTTGGCAATGAGATATGAAGCTGCTTCCTTTGTGAGAGCATCAGATAACAGCATCAGATAACAGAAATAGAACTAGTGCATTTCTCTGGCACAAAATTGCATTTGTAAGAGCTTGCATTTTTGATTAAGACAGTGGTTAATTATATGTCTCAATTTTATTTCAGCTTTACTCTTGGAAGCTCAGTCAACACCGTTTCAAATAACTCCTTCAACCATGGCAAATATTGTGAAAGGCCTGTATACACTAAGACCAGGTAAACAAGATTGTTCTTTTTAGGATTAGCTCATACTGTGCTTCTTGGATCTTTTCCTAAATATGTAGTCACTGCCTGTATAATACATATATAAAAGAAAAATTAAGATCCTGTGCTTAGCTGTACAGTGTGTAAAGGCCCTGGCTCTGCTTACTGCCCGTCTGTGACCTGCACAAGGTAGAATAACCACGTGGGTATCAAAATCATTCAAACCAACTAAGCTCTGCCCTGAAGACACTAGGGAAACATTTTCTTAATACTGCTGCCATCTCTTAGTTACYATGATGTGAGAGGAAGATTGTGTCCCAGCTGTGATCTGTTTTTCCTTTGGAATCCCAAATATAACAAATAGAAATGAAGGTGAGAAAAGTTGCCCCTAGAGCAAAAAAGCTCTTTTTTTGTATCTTTTTTTTGTAGTGCATTGTTCCTTATTTGCAAGCTAGGAATGTTACAAAACRCATAGATAAATCACTTCTAGTAGGTAAGCTGCATTTGCATACAACATTAAAAGTAACACCCCTTTCATCACCTTAAAAATATTCAATAGCAAGGGAGGGGAGCGTGTGCATGTAATTGTGAAAGGGACGTTTCTTTGGAAAGCAGTTCAGTGCAGTGTTGTGGTACTGCAGAACCCCACTGTAGTGGCTGGGCCTGTGACATCCGTATTGCCTGGTTCAGGTGATACCCCTCGTGCTGTTTACTTAAGAGGTAGACATTAGTTTGGATTCCTATCACCCATCTGATCACCCATATTGAGAGGCTGTCCTATAAGATCTTTAACCTTAAAGCTTCTTCCTAATCTTGTGAAATCTGCTTTCCATGGCCTAGTAGAAAGACCTGTGATACTGATTTCTATTCAGCTTTRGCTCCCACTTGCACAGGTACAGGTTTGCTTTTAATTACCTGTTCYTCAGACTTTCCAGCCTCCCAAGGTGCTGAATTTATTAATTTCTATGGCCTTTTTTTTTAAGTAAAGTGCTAAACAACACACGAACCAATTTGGTGCAATTCAAAGTGACTGGATTTCATGTTTTTAACACAACACACATTGTAAGTCATGCCATAGAAAAATGGAAGGCCTCTAAAATACTTTTTCTGCCTTTCTGAGTTTGAAGGTTTAACTTTGGAAAGTCTTTATATCTTTGAGAATAAGTAATTTAGGTTAAAAAAAGCTTATATAACTTTATGTAGGTTCAAGTTTTGAGCATTATGTGCAAATTCCCAAGCACTGCCTAGTAAGATTCACAATAAAATCAGGAGTTAGTGTAGCTTGTGATGAACATATCAATGTTTTAACTGCTTCAGTGAGGTATTTGGCATCAGGTTGGGGCTTTGTATTTTGCTAAACAAGATTTATCTTTGTAGTGGTTTTTAAATGGTGTGTGCAAAATAAGTGCTCAGGTAAGAGCAAGTTCGAGTTATGTTCAGGTGGTAACTGGGCTTTATATGGTTGATCTGAGAGCTAACCTGTGAAGAACAGCTATCTTTTTGGAGTAAAGTAGAATGTCTTCGGTTAGAGTTAAGGAAAGACTATTAGAATGGATTGTAACAGTTTGGTGTTACAATATGCACTGTCTCTCACAGAGCTGCTGCATTTTTTCTTTTTTTTTTTAATTTTAATTAAAATTTAATCTCTCAGCAAAACCATTGATTGTTGCTTGAACGGGGGRAAAAGAAAATAACTTTCAAAGTAATTCAATCAAAAGGAACACAGGAAATATTTATTATAAAAGGGTATTCTTTGGTGCTGGCCCTTGAGGATCAATTTCAAAACAATTGGAGTGGGAGTTTGTCTAAGGCAGCAGCTCTGAAACTTTCCCTCCCTCGTGTTTTTCTCCTGGGATGCTGCATTTCTTGTCCCTGGGCTTTCTCTCCTCCTGCAGCCTGTGTTGCCTTCCCACGGCATTCCTAGTCCTCCTGGGATGCCCCGCGCTAGTCTCTCCAGCGGCACCTACTTCTTCCTTCAAGGGCCCTCGGGAAGCCCTTCAGTCTAGGACGCTATAGAGCAATCTATAGTCTGTAGTGGGAAGATACTGAGTGACTTGGTGTTATTGCACTGGGAACACAGGCCTTGGCTTAAGCGTTTCAAGACAGATGCTCTATGTAGAACAGTGAGGGGGAAGAGTAACAGGAGTAGCTGATGAAGAACAAGAAGGGCGAATGTGAAGGGAGAATTTTGATGCTGTCTTAAAAATATTTTCTCTATTTGCAGAACTTCAGGGAGTTTCCCTTCAATAGGCATATTGCCTTAATGTGCAAATTGTCTCTTTATGAACTGACCTGTCATCTTTCTTTCCCATTAGGAATAAAGCTATTAAAGAATTTCTCTATTAGAGCATTTAATGCAATATAGAACTTTGTTGATAAAGAACTTGTAAAATACTAACTTAAATTCTCATTGACTAATGAGTAAATAATCCAAATTGTCTGACCTTTTTAATGCTGGAGAGTGGACTCCAGTTAGGAACATGTCTCAGAGGAACCTTTTTGAGGAATCCTGTATCTTTTCTTATGACCGTGTGATACCAGCTTTGTTAATATGCCTCCTGGTCAAAGAGGGCATTATTGAAGCTTGCTTTATCTCAATCAGTAATCATCTCCTCTTACTAGATATAAACTTGCTATTTGCCTTAGTGAACATACTTAAAAGTGTTCCTTTCTTCCATGTGAAGAGAAGATTTAAAATAACTGTTGTCTCCTAAAAATTTGCATTTAAAACTCTCTGAGCATTCTTCTCAGAACTTCTTTAGCAATTGCTATAAACCAAGTTCTGTGCTTTTGCTTGGTCTTTTCTGGGTCTTCTACTGTCAGCCTGGAAGGCAGCTGTCTTGTTGCATTCAATGCAGTGGAATTAGATCTGCTGGGATTCTGTAGTTGAATGCCTGGAGTTTAAAATTATCTGAATATTAAGGTATTCATTGCTTGGAGCTTTGGTAAATCTTCAGCAGAGAGAACTGCCTCACTTCATTTGAAGTGGGAGAAGGAGAACAAGGATTGTGTGGTGATATAGCCATAGTTTCTAGAAGCAGGGCTTGGGAGGGGATGTGGAAGCAGAGCCAAGAGAATCCACATGAGCAAACCGTTTCAGACGAGCACGTTTTCAGGGTAGGTTTGCTGTGCGGTGGTGCCTGTCCTTGGGATTGCTGAGCTCTGCAAGGGCATAATTGAGGTTCTCTGCATGGGTTTGCTGTCATCAAGGTGAAATCCATTGCTTGTTGTGCCTCATGACGAGCACAAGAAAAAAAAATCTTAATCCAGATGTAAACATCGGATTTTAACAGTCTCAATGTTTGTTCTACGTTTAAGACTTGGGTTCTGAGGTCTGGAGAGATGTTGAGATTGGTGCCCAGAGTCTTTGTATTTTAACCTTATTTATGTTTAAAAGGTAGGGATAATTACTGTTATGAACTAATGGCATTTATTATTTTGTTTTGCTGTGGCAAATAGCTACAAAAGTGAAAGACTTCAAAGAACAACAGCTGTATAGCTTTAGTGCCAGTGATGATGCCTACTTTTGGTGGGAAAGCTGACAAAATAGACATGTGCTTCCTTCCCCCCGCCTCCCCTCCCCCGTATGTGTTATTCAGTATCCTAAAACTTATTTAAAATAGACCAAAAGTACTAATTCTTTTCAGAGTATAAAATTTTTATGAAAAAAAATACAAACTTTTACATGTTTTATCTTTGTTACTTTCTCTCTTCTTGCAGAATGGGTACAGATGGCACCTGCTTTATTTTCAAAATTCATCCCAAACATTCTACCCCCTGCTGTGGAATCTGAGCTTCAAGAATATGCTGCTCAAGACCAGAAGCTCCAAAGAGAGCTCATGCAGAATGGGTTTACTAGGTAATAATTATTGGCCTTCAACGGTAGTTGTCCTGGACAAGGCAGAAAGTGTAAAAATGGGTTCCCTGAAAAATACTAAGAAATATTCTGAGTTAGTCAAAAATATGCAAAACTCCATATCTGAAATGTGCCCAAATTACCCTGTACAAACTGATTGGATGATAGCAAGAGGCAAAAGATCAACAGTTTTTATTTTTTCATGAAGCCTGTCATGATTCATGCCTCCTTGTGGTTTGACAGAACTTTTAAAGCTCAGTCATTCCTTCAGCCTTGTACCTAGTTCATTTATTTTCTATGCACTGATAGTTGGATATTTTTTACATGATGTTTCTGAAAATGACCCTTGATTGCCTTTCCCTATCTCCAGGGCTATTTAAAACAGTACAGTCGATTGTACTGTTTTTATTATTTATTTTTAGTATTTTAAATGGGCATTTCATTTCTTATTGAGTCTTGAACTGGAAAAATGAGCAAACAGAGAGCAGAAAATGTTATTTAGCTCTGCTGTTTGTGTAGAACAGTGGCTTGTACTGTCTGCTCTTTCACTGAACTGCTTAGGTAGAAGCACAGCACTTTTGTCACAGCACTTCAGCTCCTGCAGTAGCCCTGACAAACCAAGATCAGGCTCTGGAAGGTTCTGTGCTCTGTTCCTGCTGTACCTATTTTTATCTGGCAAGGGAAAAGGAAATTCTTCATSTTTACTGTCACCAGTGGAACAGTGAGAATCAGGTCTTGTAGTTTGAGCACTCACCTTATAGGAATATGGTAAAGGTTAAACCTTAGTGGTCATCTCTACAAAGCCCTGTAAATAAGTCAGCTTCAAAACTGTGATACTGACCCAAATGAAAATGTTACTGTAAACCCACTATTGGTAAAGTAGGAGAAAGAAAGCTGCTTTTGTTCACTGTCTTTCTGTAGAGAAAAACCTTGGTTTTGGATGGGTTTGTGTGTGAAATAAGACATTAAAAGCTTAGTTGTAAGAACTTGGGCTGAGAAAAGCGTTTGGCTTGAGAAGCAGGTTAGAGATATTTTGAAACCAAGATAYGATCAGTGTCTGTCTTCCTGCTGTTTCCTAGGGGTGACCAGTCACGTAAGAGAGCTGGAGAAGAGTTAACTTACAGTAAGTATGAGTCCTGTGCTCTGTATTTCATCAGCTCTGGCTATAGTTCATACCAATAAGCAAGAAAATGCAATTTCTCTGCATGTGTTTCTCTAGCAGGTATTCTTTCCTCTTGAACTGTGCTGCTTGATTTTATTGTAAACCTGATTTYCTTTTATGATAGAACAGACCCTTGCAGGCATGTGGACAATGCCTAAGTGTGCCCAATAAACCTAGGCTCAGCTGAAAGTAGATWCAGAACAGTCTGCTGAAGTATTCTCAAAAGAGTAAGCAGAGCTCCTCTGTCAAATTGAGGAGTGTCAGATGCTCACTGTCAGACATGGTTCTGCAGAGGTGCAGTATTCAATATTTATGAGCAAATTTGGGAGGGAATAATGTGGACATGCTGAATGTGAATTTTAAGCCTTCCTTGCAGCGTGTTGTGGTCCTTTGCAGACTGGGCGTACAGGTAATGAAGGACCTTTGGGTTTTGGAGTAGGAAGGGGTGTTAAGGGTTGCCCTTTGGCATGCAGCCAACTGGCTGCTGACTTAATTGCCAGGATTATGAGTAATGCTACACACTGCTGGGGTGCAGAGCCTGCCTGACTCTGCCAGGCTCCCATAGCCACCCCTTACGGTAGGAAGATAGCCTGGMTACTGATTTTTCTGCTTTGTTTATGCCTGCAGCTGAGGTCTTAAATAGCATAGTTGCCCAAAGTCTTTACCTGGTCTGTGTACTCCGTTCTTATTTCTGTATATAGACAAAWGAGAAAGTTCAGAGGGGTTGTGCTGCTCAACTTGGGATGGTCAATTATGTCTTTCATAACCTGAGCTGAGATGCTGAAAGCTGTAACTTGTTTACAAATTCACAGGCTTACAAGTTCCAGAGTCTTGCAGCCGAGAAAATCACTTCCAATTGTGAATGAAGTTTCTTGCTGTTGGTTTACCTGGGAAACTCTTCACTTTGTTCCCTAATTTCCCCAGTGTAAATTGGGGATGGAATGAGGAACAGGAAGACATGCRTGGAGGAGGGGTATTTCCATTCCCAACTGGCTGCACTATTTCAGTTACTCCTGTTGTGTGTGCAGTCRGTCACTGATTCCTTATGGCCTGGTCAGATTTTCTGTGCTGAGTAAACGGTTTGCACAGCAGAAACTCCATTGCCTGATATGCTCTAGAACTGCATTTTGCAGTAAGGACCTCAGTGCTTTTCATTAAGTACCTTTGTGGGTTGGGTAATGGTGTCTGTTCTGGTGCTGCTGTTAATCTTGGTTCATTTTATTGCATTCTTTCTGGCTATTTTCCTACTGTGCTTTAAGCAGGGTGCAATCACTTTATGTCATTCCCTGAAATGTCATACAGCATTGAGCTCCTTGCTACAGTCTCAAATAAATGCTTGTTTAATTGATACATGAGCTTCAGTTTTCACTGTTAATGTTTTGCAGAAAATGCCTTTAGGATTGTTGAGGGGGAGGTGAGGCTCAAAGACATGAGGTGAAAGTTTAATATGAGAGAATTTCTTCAACTTCTTTGTATAATTTCAGATGGCTCRTCAGCTTGTGCAAGCTCCAGGGGGTACAGATAGTGAATATACTGGATCAGCTTCTATTCCTAGCCAGAACAGACACTGGAGGAGCACAGGTGGTATCCGGAGCCTCCTTTGGCAACTGCTGATACTCGAGCTCTGACACGAACTATGCCTCGAAGAAGAGTTTTGGACTTTCTTCTTTATATAATAAAATGTCAGTTGCTGCTACAATTGGAATGACTTTGAAAGACGTGATTCCTTGGTCTAGTCTCTCAATCAGTTCTTGCTCTGCGWTTTTGTGAGGAATGCACCTTGAAAAACAATCCTTTCAAAGTGGAAATGGGTAGCCGAAATCAGCAGCTTCCAAAAGTGTTAGAATGGAAGAACCTTTTTTGCACTCTTTTCTTAATATTAAGGACATTCTTAAAACTAGTTAACACATCAGTGTATTAGTTTTTAAACTTTAAGGTATTTTCTGGAGCTTTTACTTAATAAGAATAAAGTTTCATTATTTTGCAGTATTTGTTCATTAGTATGAAAATGATGTCACCTTTTAAGTGTTGGTCCCATATAAAGTGTCTTCTGTCAGGGAGTTTTAAATTTCAGATTTTCTTTTATCTGTTTCTTTTTTGTAACTTTCTCTGTTTTAAAATCTGTTTTCCTATATGTTTGTACTCTGTGCCTTCAGCTTGTGCACTTTGCTACTTTATAGATCATATTTTGTTACTGCAAAACATGTTCCTGCGGGAAAACTTCTGATGTGAACAAACATGCTGCAAAGTTGCACTTTCTCTTGCATCAATAGGAGATGTTTAGGAAGGAAAGATGAAAGGTTGAATTTGCCACCCTTGCTTACAGGGCAAAGGAAGTTTGTCCCTTTTTATTTTTCACACATTCTGKTGTTTAATGCTGGGGCCAGCCCTTGGAGAACCCCCCTTGGTAACTTCTCATGGCTTCCTTATTTGCAATAGATGGAGATGTGAATGCTTTATACCACGTTGTGCAGGAACGACCGTTCTGGCTCAGTTCTGCAGCGTGGGCTGGGAGACGTTTCCCAGTCCGCAGAGCTGCCCTGGCCCTGGGAGATGCCCCAGACCCCCTGGGGAGCCCCTGGGCTGTGTCCCTTGTCCAGGGGATGTGATGGGAGGTGACACGGACGTGGTCAACGTGTCACCATGTTGGACTGGCAGGAGGATGCAGCAGAAGCAGTGAGTTATGGATGTCACATAATGCATCCATATGTTCCCTGCACACCCCCTGCTCCAGCCTTGGATGAACTCAGCTGGGATCCAGCCGAGGAGACCTGAGTCCGGTAGATCTGGACCTGAGGTCTGCATCGTAATGACTATAACGCAGCTTTTGATCAGTACTGTGGCTAATGCAGCTCATCTGTGAGGGGAGAAGCGTACTTGAAAGAACAGCTTGACTACAGATTTTTTTATTATTATTTTTTATTAACGGGTGACTATGGATTTATTTTTATCAGCTTTAATTATAAAGAGACATTAGTTGGTTACACAAGATCACAAGATCTTTCTGAAGTGAAACAGAAGTTTGTTCAGTTTTGCCTCGCAACTCTTATGCCTGTATTTAAAAAAACAAAAAACAACCCTTTACACTTGCAAAATGCAGGAAAAAAATAGATACGGCAGGGAGAAAATTCCTTTTTTTTTTTTTTTTTTTCTACTTTGCAGCCTGGCTTCATGTAAACAAATTCTCTGAAATTTCACATCTTAACAGTTGGGCAATGCCTTCAGTTTGAAGGGTAGGAGATAAAGTAAGTAACTAAAGTGAGGATGGTGGGGGGGGGGAGTAGGGAAGGGGAGAATGAAAAGGACGATGTTGGGATTGACTCATTCCAGTCTGACTGACCTATTTTTTTTTTTTGCATATTTGCAAAACCTGTTTAATTTTGGGAAAGCTTTTTTTAAATTAAACATAAAAAAGATTGTTTCAGGGTTTTTATTTTTTTTCCTTTGTAGAACAATGTCAGCAATGTAATCTTAATACTGGAAAACAAAACCACTCTTAGTTTTCAAATTGTTTGCTCCAGCTTTGTTACCAGTCTACTTCAGTAGATGCAGAATTGGGCTAAAACTGAGGGGCTTTGAAAACCCAGCTCAGCACAATAGAAGAGTTAATGAATGCTGATAGGGAATAAGCATTCACTTGCTATCTTCCATTTTTTAAATTATTTTTGACTTTAAACAGAAACGAAACCTCTGACTGTGTCCTTAGCTTTATAAATTAATCCGGGTGCTGAGATGACAATATTCTTGAGTTAAGAATAATGCTTGTAACCTAATTTGGTTAAAGTTTGTTTACAGCTTTACAATTCTAGTTGTAATACAGTATACAACCTATCAGCTTTATCAAGTGATCACGATTCTTTCTATTCCTAAAATGAGTTTGCTGGTCTGAGTCTGTAAATAATGTGTAGCACTTTTGCCACGTGTTTGAGGCAAGGGTTTTAACATTCACTTTATYCTGCATTACGTTTGGACACACACTTCTAGAAGAGTAATTCATCAAAAGGTAAAGCATTCCCGTTAGTGTGGTTCACTTACGGTACCCACTATGAGTAGTGCTTGAGTGCTTCTCAGTCCTATGTAGCATTGTCACTTGGCCATGGAACAGGCACCTGTTTGTAAAGCACTGTATTATGTTGTAAATTTGGCATTAAAAAAATCGGTGTGTTTTGGCATTATTAACATAATGCTGAAATATTGTTTATCTGTCTAAGGCTTTATCATTGTGACTGAGCATGAAACAATACAACATAACATACCAAACTATTTTCTCTGTAAATTTGTGTTTTACTTACAGTAAAACTAACTCAGCCAGTTCGAACATTGGTACTGTAAAGCCACGACTACAGACAGCATGGTTCTAACTACACTAATTTACCCCAATAACCTGTGGTAAATTTATTGCATTTGTAGCTTACTTTGTTAAGATTAAGCAGTAAAGTTGGTTATACAATGGGTGTCCTCCTTATGTTGTGTTGATTCTATAGCCAAACTTGCTCCATTAAAATATTTTTAGATGAATCTCTTGCTTTTGAAAGTTTAAATATTTCTACTTCTCCTGCTGCCTGCCCTGTCTCTAGAAAAGTGTCCCTGTGTGGCCAAGGTGATTGCACTGATGCAGACTGGGGCATTCGGTGTAAAYCAGCACTCAGCTTCTGTGCAGTTTTATCTGCTTGATGCCTTCATGCAGTTCTTGAGGAAATGTTTTTAAATGAGTGCTCTAAATGGAGAGTTCTTTGACTTCTCTTTGGTGGAAATGTGATCAGCCGGAGTCATCTCTTTTCATCGCTTTGAATAGAGAAGAGGCAGTGCACAGTATCTTTACCCTTTTTATTTTCTCTAGATATGATTGTTTCCCTTGTGCAGATACATAAGCAAAGCCACAAAGTGATATTCTGTGTGCCTGAGAAATCTCTCCTGTATGCCATGATAGACCCAGTGAAAGGAAAGTTCTGTATAACAAGGGAATAAAAAAATAGCTACTTGGATTTTATATGTCCTCAAAGCAGATCTACCTGAGAGAATATAAGGGTGTTTTGATGCCTTTACAGACACTTGATAACCAAAAAGCACCTCATTCAGCCTCCAGGGTGCAAGTTAAAGCACTTTTGGGTTTGTGCTTCTGCGCAGTCATTTCCCTTCGCCTGTTTACCAGAAATGGCTTAAATCATTGACTTGTGCATGATCGTGCTCTGGATCGGGTGCAGTTCAGCCCCAGCCAAGCAGTGAGAGATGCTGCCCGCTCTGAAGGAGCACCTGAGTTCTGAGGGGCTCTTACGGGGAGCAGCAACTATCCCTCTTTTCGAAGCATTGATTTSCCCCGCCACCACTATCCTCCAAAAAAACCCTGAGGTACAGCCTGCTGTCCATAATACAAATTAAAATGTTGGACTCTTTAAGTTGTAAGAAGATGGAACACACTGTCATACAGCAGAGTACAGAGGTGTCAACATGACTGGGGGACCAGTTTTGGCCTGTTGTGCTGCATAACTGCTGTATTTTCTCAGCACCAACTTGAAGATGCTGCGAGGGGGAAGTTGTGTGAGAAGTGTGAAGCTGATCAACACTGTCAGATATAAAGGTGTGTGGAAACCAGACATCTGTTCTTCCTCTCCTGCTTGTGCCCCCAGCACCACGTGTAGGGACTCCTGACAGGGGCAGGGCTGCTCAGCAGTCTCTAATCACATCTCTTATCTCTTTAACCTGTTTTGTCACTGAGGAGATCAGAAAAGAGAAGAGCGGTTGTGGTGAGTGCTGYATGTTCCTGCCTCTGCAGGTAGGAATGGGGATGTACTAGGGACTGCTGTAGGTCCCAGTTGCTGCTAAAGGGTGCAATCCTCTGAGGTTCCTCCAGTCTCTAAYATTTAGTCTTTTGTCACTGTGTAAAGTAGAGAAGATAATCTGGAGATAGAGCTAGGGCCCTTTTTTTCTTGCAATGTGCTTTGACTGGTAGAGGAGAAGAATCTTTACTCCTTCCTGTAAGAGGTTTGTGGGTCACTTGTCTCAGACCTTGCTTTTCTCCAAGGCAACCTTGATGCAAGAGTATCAACCATTTTCAGGGACTAGGATGAGTACTACAAGATTTTAATTCTGCATTTATTGTAGGATAAATAATAATCCCTTCGTAGGATTGCAAACTAGGTAGAAAGCAGCTTTTGCAGAAGGCTTGCAGCGGGGGAGGGCTGATTCTGTTGGCTGGCGTTCTCCTGATGAATATGATACAAAAGACTTATGCAATATTCTATGCAACAAAATATTTATGCTATAAATAATTGTGATATGGGTCTAACAAGTTCTATACCCGTGGGATCTGTTAAGAGCAAAGGTCATTAGATCTACATTTCCTTTTTATTGTGGTTAGATCGTTTTTGAGAGGGGAACATAGTAATGTGAGAGGACACACATGGGAGTGAGAGGATGTCTTGGCTTCTGTCAGAAGGGGCAGAAGATGTAGTGGATTGGCAAAGCAGACTACATTAGGGCTCAGTTAGAAGCTCCCTGACGAAGCTCTGCACTTTACCAGAGGGGATGGAAGGATTAAATTCATTTCTCTGTATTTGAATGACTGGTTTAAGGGGATTCCAGAATTTTATATGAGTATCCAGCAGTTCCTTCTGGCTCTCTCTCCATCTGTCCCCAGGATGTGCCAGATTGACTTGGTTAATATTTCTGTTTCTGATGTCCTGCTAAGTRATTTAATTATCACAGAACAGAAAGGTTGATTCCTCTAGTGATGACATCAAAATGAATTTAATAGTATTGCTTATTGTCTCTTCAGTATTGTTTTTCAACCAATCAATCTTTAAGACAAACTRTTGTCATTTCTGAGGTGACAGAAGTTACCACCAGTGTCAGTACTATCAACCAGCAGGTAATTCATTTGTTAGCACTGTGCTCTGCACAYCAATGAGATCTCAGTAGATGTCACCCTCTGGATGAGGTTCTCTGTCAGGAAAAGCGTTATCTGCTCCATGTTCAAGAAGATAATAGGTCTACCCAGGAGCTGAGGTGATGCAGCTGAGCAGGCCTGTGGTGTAGTGACTGGGCAGTACATACTCTGTGAGCTAATACCTCCAAAATATGTACGTACTTCCATGGGCTAGCTGATATACTGCAAATTCCCGTGCCACATGTGCCTTAAGCAACGACGTAGGCCTCTTGTTTGTAATGTGTTGAGGCATAGGTGTTAACAACACTTGTTTATTAGGGTGTCTGACTTAAATTCCATATATAGTCCATGTGAAGCAAAMGACTTGTCCAGCATGTACCACATGGCAGTAAAATTGTATATATTTTATATAGARAGAGCGTTTCTGGGGTTCTAGTGTGTTAGTAGCCATGGACTGCAGATGCTTGAAGCCTTCTCAGCAAAGGAGCTGGAAGGAGAACTTGCCAGACAGGGCTCGTTTTACCTGCACAAAGGCAGAAGGAAAACCGGCCTATTTGGTTCTCCTTTAGATGTATGTTGTGGCTAATCTCCACTAAATAGGTATATAGAGTTGCCTGTATAATGCAAATAGTTCAAAGTATGTGATCTTGCCTGCTGCAAGCCTGAAGGCCCCTTTAAATGACGTACGTAAAGGTGTGTTGTGTGCGGTGATCACACGTGTGTTTTACTGGTGCATCTTGGTAACAGACACAATCCCCTGGCTGCTGCTGTGTTTGTACAATATTTCAGTCTGTTAGCATCAGTGCTAGGCAGAATTTCACACAAGGTATTGAACCATTTGCTTTGAAATAAGGAGATACATCATACCTGGTCATTATCTACTCATTATCTAC